AAGGGGAACCCAGTGCTTTCTGCCGCCCGCGCCCAGCCGCCGCACGCTCGCGCGTCAATCCGTGCGCACGTGGAGCTGGCCGCTGCTCCAGGTGCAGGTCGTGGGGCCATGGCCTCTGCCAGCGAGCTTGCGAGCACCCAAGCCGGAGCCTCGGAGTCCGCGCCGCGCGGGCTCGGAGCCCAGCCCGGTGCGTGCGAGCCTCGGAGCTGGAGGCGGAGCTGCAGTCCGTGAAGCGGGCGTTGCAAAGTGGAGTTGGATGCTTAGTTACTAGTAGCAAGTCACAGCAAGTGCATCACTTTTAGTAGCAAGAAGCTACTAGCAACAAGGGCATCACTACTAGTTGCAAGAAGCTAGTAGTAGCAATTGCAGCGCTACTAGTAGCAAGTTAGACATGATTTCCCATATTTATATAGTGGTTTTGCAAGGTGCCTTGGCTGGTGAAAATGGGCATTTGGACTTCAGGCAGCCTACCTCGGACTTCAGGGTGAAGCACTTCAGAAGTACTTGCTCCAATTGAGCGAGAAGGAGCCTCTAGGGTGCTCCGTGCTGGGGGGGTTTGATCGTCTGGATCTTGAGAGGAGAATCTCTTGCTCTCCAAGCAGTTGCATTCCATGGCCACTTCCTTGGTCGACTCTTGACTCAGGTGGGTTTGAAAGTGGGAGGTGCTCCCCTGCCTGAGGCAGCTCAGGATAGCTTCGAGCCATTATCGCCGGCGACGGTCCACACCTCGTGAAGGGCAGGGAAGTTCTTGTCCGTCAGGATTTCCAAAAGTGATCATGCTTAGAACTGTTTTTTTTCCCACTTTGGCAATCCCTTCCAAAGCATTCAAATCCATGGTTTCACTGAAAGGTGATTCCGTCAACCAAGTTGGAGGAATCCTCCAACTCTCGGCGGTTCGGGAGTTTTACTATGGCTTCTCTCTCCAAGGCATCTTCCGGATCCACGCGAGGATACGCAGCAGGGGATGTGACCACCGGGCTGGGGAGCCCAGATCATGATGCGAAGCTAGTTAGACACTAGGCTAGCGGCTAGGCATGCAAGACGATTGCAGAATGTAGTGGAAGCAGAGGTACATTTGTAGATCAGAGACTACCAACATACACCTCCATACGGACTGGCCAACAGCGAAAAGAAGCTTTGGGCTTTGAAACTGAATGGAGGGAGGTCTGGCTAACTCAGTTGACCTGCTATTTCGCAGGGCCCATCAGCCTGCGCGACCTGCACCAGTGGGAGATGCTAAGGCGCGACCCATCAACCCATATTGTTGTTGGGTAGGTGTGCACGCGACCCATCGCCAGTGCTTCATCTTCATTTGTCGCTGCGTCCCTCGGGTCGCCGGGCCGGTTGGCCGCGGAGGCGTTCAACCGCGAGAATCTGCAAGATGTCTGGAGCCCGGGGGGGCGAGCGTTGACCGCTCACGATCGAAACAATTGGACGTGGCTGACGTGGCTTTGGATTAGCGCACCCGAGCCCCGAAGAATTCGCGGACTTTCAGCGCGTCCAATGCTGGTGAGTCAACGAATGTCTGAAAGTCTGAGCGTTTTCCTTCAGGTTCTGACTCATATGGCAGAATATGAGGTGCGATGCCCTGCGATGTAGCTGAATTCGTTTGATTTCGTTTCCCCCTTTGGTTGGTGTGAGACCAACGGCAGGCGGTGCCGGCAGAGTGTGCCCGGATCTCGGTCGGTTATGATGGGGGGGATTGGGGAGCTCCTGACAAATCCCACGGGAGATGCAAAGCACCAAACATTTTCATGAGATGCCTCCATTTTGCGGACCTTTTGGCTGGCTTCTGGGCGTGATAGCCTGCCAAGGCGAAGGCCTTGAAGGCACTGTCTTCCCTGGCCTATTCCAACGCACGGTCCGTGGGCAAGGTGGCGGCCATCCCTTCGAACTGACGCGGCGCCGGTGTTGAAGGGCGTTGAGCGGCGAGTGCTCGCTGCTCACATGGTCTTCAGGACGAGCGAGTGCTCGCTGCTTTGCCCGGTCCTGACACTTCGTCCATAGATGGAAGCAAGCAGAAAAGGGAATGAGGGTTGTTTGGAATTTGGAAGCTAACCGAACCTGGCAGGGTGTTTGTAAAGTAAAGATGTCACTCCAAATCTCCCAATTTCCAAAAGCTACTGGGTTTGAACACCATCACGGTTTTTATGATTGGCAGTTTTGAAGCTTAAGGCTTAGAGCAGTCCGGTTGCACCAGTCAGAAGGTGCAGGAAACTCAGACTGGAGCGCAAGATCCTGAATCCACCTACCTGGTAATCACTTCTTATGGAATAGAGTGGTGCTTGCAAGTTTGAGTGGGGTTTTGCTAATGTATATAAACATATATAGTATTTACGGGTGAAACTACACTTAGATGGTTGCTCGCAAGAGCTAGGATCAGAATGAAGTCCCACTCTAGCGATTACAATGCCAGCTGCATTGTAGACCTTGACTGGTGAAAAGGAAAGGTGCAAACCGAAGGGTGAAGATGTCCACGGAATTGGAGATGTTTGAACAATGTTTGGCAACTCTTGGTATGCTAAGAAGCGGCTTAACAATTCAGCAGGTACGTCGATTTGGCGTCCCAAATCGATTTCACAGACCAATGCAAATGTCTTTGTTAGTGCCAGACTTGCACGGTCCCTGGCACCACCTGCTTCTTTTTCTGTTTCTTTTTCGCATCCCTGCCTCTTCGTTCTCAATTAGTCGCGATGCCTTTGGTTCTAGCGGCCTCTTGTTCCTAGTAGCAAGGCCAGGAGCTACTAGTAGCATCCAGCCTTCTAGTAAAACCTGCGGCAGGCATACTTACCAGGCACAAACCTTGGAAACAGGTGTTAACACACGCACATACACAGTATATATATATACATATTGTTGTGTGTATATATATATATATACGTGTGTGTAGATATATGTATATATATATTCTATATTCTGATATTCTACAGTATCCATTTCTATCCAACATATTTCCAGTTGACTCACAGATTTTTCCGAGTTGTGAGGTAATAGACATCAAGTCGATGAATCTGTGGACCGCATGACTGAGTCCAGGAAAATGATTCATTTTAAACCGATGGGCCCATGGTGGATGGATTGACTACTAGGTGCAGCAGTTCAGGAGTCAAAACGGAAACTCTGGGTATGGACCGCATCAGCAATCAGCCACCATTTTGATCTATTTTGCCTCTTTTGTCACGGGAGAGTTCAACTTCTCGCACTTCTCGAAGTTGAGACTCGCTGAGGCTGTGCAGCTCACTGCCATGCGGGCGATCTCAAACATGGCTTATGACCAGGCGACGGATCTCCTGATCTCATTTGACGCAAGGTGACCTGAGCAAGGTACACGGTCAGTCGCCAGTTCAAGTCAAGCAAAAGAAAGCATCCCAACTGACCTTTGCCTCTGACTTGTTGGAGCTCGAGCCCATTTGCCCATCCAGGAAGTGGCCCTGACAAGACTAGCGAAGTCTGATGTGAACATCTCAGCCGAACGATGCGTCACCGCGTTTGCGCCCATACACCGGGATGACGAATGTGAGGTCATGGGGCAGCTGTTGACTTCCGTGGCTTCGAAGTCTGAACCAAAGGATCCAGACGAACAGCTATGCTGTATAAGAGTGCTATATGTGTTTGCATATTTTTTTTTCAATCTCTCTTCTTGACAGCTTCAGTACATGATCAGCATCAGATAATGTCCATCAGCTCTTGCACCTGCCATCAACTTCCTGTGTCCTATTTCACTCGGACTCGACCATCACAGTGAGGAGATTGCCGCCACGGCCAGCGAAGCTCTGGCCAGAATCTATGCTGCAGAGGCTCGCCGGCGATTGGGCTCATATCTGCATTGCGACCGCATAGGGGGCCACGCTAAATCTCCGGACCCAGTTGATCCGGTTGACGCAGTTGACCCGAACAAGCTGCTGCTGCTACTACGACGACGACTACTACTGCTACTGCTACTGCTAACGACTGCCACGGGTCAACTAGGTTCAACTGGGTCAACTGGGTTCAACCCGGTCAACTGGGCCCACCACCACCACCACCACCACCACCACCATCACTATCACTACCACTACCACTACCACTAGCACGACCACACTTGCCATCGCACAAAGTTAACCGGGTCAACTGGATCAACTGGGGCACCCTGTTCAACTGGGTCAACTGGGGCCATAGATTTAGAGGGTGGGTGTGCTTGGGAGAGCACACACTAGCTCAAAACCCTTGGAAAACACTGTAAATACCGTGCAAAATTTCAGAAACTGCACTGAGAACTAGGCGAAACGCAATTCACGAAAGCTAGCAAAGCTAGCTGGAGTTACTCTTGCGATAGCAAGGTTTCTTTCGATCGGGTGCAAATCCTAACCCCTGATCTTTCAGGTCGAAGCCCCCCCCCTCCCCCCCATCCCTCCCCCCCTCCTTGTCTTCCTCCCACCTTCCCTCCCTCCCTCCCTCCTCCCTCTTCGCAAGTTCGACTCCGTCCTGTCGTCGCTCTTTGGCATGCGGTTAGCGTTGCGTATCTTGCGGCCGCACTCGCTCACTCTCACTCTCACTCTCACCCTCACTCTCACTCTCACTCTCACTCTCACTCTCGCTGTCTCTCTCATCTCTCTCTTGCCGAGTGCGCTGACCCCTTTGAGGTGAGAGAAACGCACAGATACACCTGAATGCAGAGAACTGTTCTTGTTCAACTCTGGCCATTTGGGATTGACAACTGTGTGCCTAAATTTGTCACTGACACTGACTCAGCGCCGAACTAAGGCGTAGTCACTGAAGCAAAGCCTCGCGCGGCCCAAGCTAGCTGGCGAAGGGATCATGCAAACGCGCTCGTCTCACTAGTGCCTGACCAGTCGAAGTGCAGCTTCCACCTGCTGCGATGGAATGGCCAAGATGCCTGCGCTAGGTGTATCAATCCACGGCTTGTCGCCCGGAAGAAAGATTCGAACAGACCTAAAAAAAGCCCATGACAGCGGCGCAGCTCAAACGATTTGTTAGAATTGTTTAAAACTGGGACGGCGAGTTGCAACTCCACAGCCAACAAGAACACAAGCTCAACCCAGAGCCAGCAGGATCACCAACATCAAGACTCACATTTCGTTGGAGGTGTGGACGCGCAAATTTTTGTGGGAGGCGCAGGGAACCGTGAGATTGCGAGTTGTGGTGGAGGTGAATGTCGCTGTGACACATGTGAGCGGGCGCTGTTTGGAGGGGCTGGAACCGCCAAACTGCTTGGCAGGGCTGCTTGATGTGTGTGCTCCGATGGGGCTTCCCCTTGACTTTTGGAGGAAGCCTTGTATGAAATGCTCGTTTTGAAGATTTTGACGCGTGACTTTTGGAGGAAGTCTCGTAGGAAACGCTCGTTTTGGAGACTTGATGCGTGATTTTTGGAGTTCAAAACGCTGGCTTTGCAGACGTGAAGTGTGAGTTTTGGAGGAAGTCTCGCGCGAAACACTCGTCTTGGAGACTTTATGAGTGAATTTTGGAAGAAGTCTCGTGCGAAATGCTCATTTTGCAGAGTTGACACGTGACTTGGGCCTTTGAGGTGGGCCTGGGTTCAAGATGCCCCTCGAGCTCCGCTGACCTCCTGCCAGCCCTAACCAAAATTCGGCCGCGTTGGAGGCCGCAGGACTAGTGAAGAAGGCATTGAGTCAGCAGGTCCATTCTCAGTAGAAGCCGTCGCATCAGACACCTTCAAGAACCTGCAAAACTTTGGTCTCCCCAAGACCCTGGGTGTAGTGCTGCATAGCCCAATGTTGTAGCTGAATCAAAAAAGTCGGAAAGGTGAAATGTTACAATCCAGCCTGCGTATCCACAGCCACAGTTCAGGTTAGGTCAAGTGGAGGGCGGGCCTGCGTTGATCCCGCAAAGCCCTCGCAAAGCAGAAACCACTGTGGGTTCGTCTTGCGCAAGAAAGTCCTAGAAGAAGAGTGTCGTCCAAGAATGTTTGACGAAGTGTGTCCACAAGAGTGAGTTGTAGAAGGGCGCCCCACACTACAAGAGTGCCGCGCAAGAGGCTTCTTGCGTCCTAGCGTTTTTGCAAGCCAGTGATAGTCAACGGAAGAAGAGACAGTTCCAATCAATTTGGGTGTGAACCCCTACAAATTGTGGCAGGTGGTTTGTGTCGCCCTGCTGGGGAACGGAACCTGTGGATGCGAAGCGCAGTGGCATGGCGTGGGCGTGTTGCAGTCTGCCGGCAGGTTAACAATGCATGTTGAACACGATGGGTGAATGAAATCAGAGAAGTCAGAAAGCACTGTCAGGCCACAAACGGCTGGCAGAGTTGCAGTCTGTCGCGAGTTGTTGGGGGGAATGAAGTCAGATTGCATTGCCAGGGCTTTGGGGGAATGGACTTGGACATATCGGAACGTATTGTCACAACTGCGCGAACGTAAAGTGACGAACACTTGAATTTCCCGAAGGCAAGTTCCGTGAAAAAAATCGAACGTAGAGTTTTTGCTGGAACAGAACCGCGTAGAGCTTTCTTGCGAAAGCAGCCAAGAGCAGAGTCTTCTAGCGAAACAAGGTGAGCCCGCGGACCCAAAAGCAAAAAGAAGCGCGCAACCCAGGAAAAAAAAGACTAACACACATTAGCAGGCCAAAACGAAGCATCAGCCCCCTCCAGGCTTCGTGGCGACCATGATATTTCAAGCGTCGCGGTTCTGGTGCGCGTCCGTCCACCCCTGTTTGCCGTATACACCCCCGGCCACCCCTTGGTCAGTTTTGAAAGCCCTCCAAAACGGTC